AGGGTGGTGGTGGGGGGGGGGGGTGTTATTTTTTGGGGGTCGGTGGTGGTGGTGGTTGCGCCAGCCTAAACAGCGAAGTCGCCGTCTGGCCGTCCGATTTGCAGATCGAACGGTCGACGTTTGTCGTCCAAAATCACAGCGAGCTGGTCTTTCCGTGCGGTCCCACGGCAGTTGGAGGACGGATTTGGATGCCAGTGAACAACTACCTCGGGTTTGGTGCAGCCCATTCGCATCTCCTGCCCACGAGCGCATTCGAACGCGACGTGACCTTTGCGACATCGGCCATCGCCTTCGCTGCCTCGCAGTCGCGCCACGTGTTTCCGAGCCTGGGCTTCTGGGTTTCTGCTCTTCATCCTTGTTGATGTCCACCTCAGTCCCGTCCTCTCGTCCGCTCATCATCCCAGTCGATGTCCTGCTTCCGGAGATAAGACATCCTGTCCTTGCGTTCTAAATCAGCGTGTGTCCGCCATTGCCTGCGCTTTGCCCTCGCCAACGAGTTCCCCGTCCTTCATGGTACAGCGTCTGTCTCCTCTCGCCGTCGCGTCATTGTCGTTCTTCCAACTGCTTGTGCGCTCCAGTTGTCGGAGTTTCGACACCCCAGCTTCGCGTTCCCCGTGGACACGTGGTCGCCATCGTCTGCGCTTCGCCCTCATCAAAGAGTTGCGCCATCTCTTCAAGGTACAGCGGTGTTCTGCCTGCCCACATCTAGGCCGTTGACGACAACTGTCGGGGCTGGCATTGGGGCACATTGCTGCCGGCGCATGACAACCGCCACGGCGCGACGCGTGTTGCATGTGCCGGGAACGGCTATCGATGAAACTGGGGCACACGATGTTTGTGTTTACTATTCTTCTCTGACTTTTTTTTCGTCACCATCGTCCACATCATTCCTGCTCGGGTTGAGGTTGGCATTGGGGCACATGGTTGCTTTCTTTTCTTTTCTTCTCACTCGTTCGTTCATCCCGATCAACCACATGTTGATCGCCGGGGTTGGCAGTGGGGCACATGGTTTCTTTGTTTCCTTCTCAATCGTTCGTTCCTCTCGATCTACCAGACGACTTGTGACTCCTATACGTTCCTTTTCTTCCGCATCCACACGATGTTCAGTTCGGCAATAATAGGAATAATCAACAACCTTCTCCAACTTGGTTAACAATTTGAAAAATACTCAATGTTTCGCACCTTTTTTTGTATCATCATCGAGATCCAAGGCTGGGTAGCGGGGCGAACTGAGAGAGCAGGAGAGACAGTTGTCGCGACGGGTGCGGTGGAAGATAAGCGGGTGCCACGTGGGCTGCGCCCGACCATGGT